GATCCCTTGCTGCCACACCCAAACCTGGAAGCCTGTGTTCACCTGTGGCCACAGATTCTGGTTCAGGATCAAACTGCTCCTCAACTGGACTGGTTTCTACACCTGAAGGAGCTGCAGTGGAAAAAAAAAAAATATATATAATTTATTTATATTTGATTTATTTATTTTCTTGGCCTGGACCTGGTCATCACCAGACTCCCACTCCCTGTTCTTCCTGGTTCTGTAGTCTGCTCTCATTGATTGTTCTCGTTCCACCACCTGCTGTGGAACATCTGTGTTTCTCAGAGTACCATGTTATATCCACATTCAAGAGGAATCCACTGGAGCAGGCCGTCCGTCGGCCCAATGTTAACCTAACGTCCAATCACCTGATCAATCAGTACTGGATCGCTGTGAGCCACAAGGCTCCGGCCTTCCTCTACGATCTGTACCTCAGGCTGATTGGACGAGAGCCCAGGTAACGTGACCGCCGATCCGGACCTCTGACCTCTTTCTCTGCTTCGCTCCTGTGACTGTCCTCTGCTGTAGTCAACTCGCTGCCATGCTAATGCTAATAAACGCTTGTGTCACTTTGTTATGTCCAAGGTGAAGAGTGTAGAACCCAGCACCCTCTGCCTGGGCTCTACGCTCTTTACTTCGTGCTGTCTGCCATGTTTGGAGGTCCCACAAATGGAGTTCAGTTCTGTTGGTGTCTTTAGGAACCCAGTCTGGGTCTGCAGGACCAGGACAGCGGCCTTGAAGATGTAGCGATGCTAACGAAAGGCTAGCAGCGGTGTAGCTGCTCAGACGTTCAGTAAAAGCCTGTCCCCCTATGTGTCCCCCATACAGAGTACTGTATTAACGTGACCTTCAAGGCCCAGCCTTTAGAGCGGGCCTTCAGAAGGCCCAATGTCACGCTGCGCTCCAACCCCTTTACTAATCACTACTGGACCGCCGTCAGCCACACGCTGCCGGCTCTGCTCTATGACGCCTATCTGTGGTTGACGGGTCGCCGGCCTCGGTAAGATCCAAACTGCCCTCACCTCCTCCCCCTCTGTCCTCACCCATTGACCCCTCCCACTGCTCCCACACTCCAGCCTGGCTGGTACTGAGACCTGTTTGGATCAAAGGCTTCAAAGAGGGTGTGTGCAGTAGCACTGACACTCTGCATTCTGATTGGCTTACTCATGACTCATGTTGGGCTGCAGCCTACTGACATCAACCATCAGTGTGAGGCCCGTGGGCTGCAGCCCACACCTGAGGCAGCAGTTAACTCACAGCAGGTCTGTTCTAAAGGTTCTCCAGTCAGAACGCTGGAACTACACAAAAGGACCTGGAACTAATGACTAGTGAAATGAACAGTCCAGCAGCCCAGTATGAACCAGGCTGCACCTCCTCCACTGGGTGTGACACCAGTCTGAGGTGTGTGTGTGTGTGTGTGTTTAGTTCCTGTTCCTGTCAGAACACGTTCTCAGCCAGGCTGTGGTTCTTCGCAGTCAAACGACCGTTTGTTGAAAGACTAAACTCTGAGAATGGTTCTCCATTTCTGGACTCTGGTCCAGGAGAGGTTCTTCTGTAGAAGAACCCAAACTGAACTTCTCTGTTGACGTCACTAAAAAAGTACTGATGGTTCTGTTGGAGTCTGTGTGTGTGTTTGTGTGTGTTCCTGTCCGCCTGCCTTCCTGTTCTGCTGCATGTTCCTCACTGGTTCTTTGTCATTCTTGATGTTCTAAACAGTTCCTCTTTCTGCTGTCAGCTGACGTTTAATCAGAAGAACAGTACCAATAACTGTCAACGCAGTCTCAAGATCATTTCATAGTGCCTGGAACTTTTATTGCCAGTTTTAAAGGAACTGAATGGTTCAATTTGATATCCGGTCATGAAGGTTCTGCAGGTGGTTCCATCTGGGATGGGACGATTTTCTCTCAGGTGGTTCTGGACCAATCAGTAGTCCAAAGTGTCCCATGGAGTCTTCTACAGTGGTCACCGTTTGAGGAGACAGAATGTTTCCTGGTGGATGCAGTTGACACATACAGTTCCTGGTACTGTTGTTCTTGTTTCTCGTCTTTTGCCATTCTCTCCTGAAGTTCTGGTTCTTCTGTGGTTGTGGTTCGTTAATTGGATTGACTCCAGACTGGGTGTGAGGACAGGAGGACAGTGATCCTGAGGACGGGGCCTCCTGGTTCTGTCCTCCTGACTGATCCTTCCTGCTCCTCCTACTAACCTCCTTCCTAACAACCTTCCTACGCTCCCCCTCCCTCCCAGGATGATGAAGACCATCTCCCGCCTCCACAAAGCCATGATGGTCCTGGAGTACTTCACCAGCCACTCATGGGTGTGGAACACGGAGAACGTGACCATGCTGCTGTCCCAGATGAGCAGTGAGGACAAGAAGGTGATGGACGCTGGTTCAGCAACTGGTCCAGCAACTGGTCTACCTGATACACTACTGTGTTCTGTTTTGTGTTCCTCAATGCGGGTTCTGGTTCTGTGGGTTTGAAACTGACTCTGGTCCTTCTGCAGATGTTTAACTTTGACGTGCGGCAGCTGCACTGGGCCGAGTACATGGAGAGTTACTGCATGGGTACCAAGAAGTACGTGCTGAACGAGGAGCTGTCGGGTCTGCCTGCCGCCCGCAAACACCTCAACAAGTAGGTACCAGTACCACACACCCCATGGTTAGCTGTTGTAACATTCAAACACTGAGCTGAATGTGTACAGCAGATTTCTCCAACTCAGTTTTGCCTAGTCAAAAAGAACATTTTGGATATCCACAACGACATTCTTCCCAGGATAAATTATGTCACCTTTGCCATTCATTTCTATGGATTTCATAATTTCAGATATTCACAATTCAGTGTTGGATATCCACAATGTAAGTTACAGATATCTGCAACTAAAGTATAGATATCTGTAAATCCGGTTTGAGAAATGTACATGCTTCTTAGCAGATATCTTAAAATACGTTTTGACTAGACAAAATGATGTTGTAGATATCTCTAACTGTCGTTTCGTCTAGTCAAAGTTCCGTTACAGAAATCTCAAATGAAGTTATGCTCAGTGGGAAAGACGTTGTTGATATCAACAATGTTAATTTGGGATAGCTTAGTGTGTAAATGTTAAAAAGGCTTGCTATACACACACACACACACCCTTGAAGGTTCAAACAGTTGATTGTGTTTTTTGTGTGTCCTTGTGCTCAGGCTCAGGAACATCCGCTACACCTTCAACACCCTCCTGGTGGTGATGATCTGGCGCGTCTTCATCGCTCGTTCTCAGATGGCCAGGAACATCTGGTATTTCGTGGTCAGTCTCTGCTTCAAGTTCCTGTCCTACTTCAGAGCTTCCTCCACCATGAGATAGTGAGGTCAGAAACATGACATCACACTCCCCCTTCACCCCTCCCCCCCCCAAACGCACACACACTCACATACACTGTCACAAAGAACATCCATCTCCACAGCAACAGAACCTGGACCAGACCTTCATCTCCCCAGTCACTAGAACTGTTTCTGCTCTTCTCTCTGTCTGGTAACCTGACCAGTACCCCCTCCCTCACCCCCACTCCCTCCCCCACCTCCCAGTGTTGGACTGACCTGGAGGTGGAGCTTAGACCTCAGTACCACTGACTATCCAGAGCTGGCAGCAGCAGCTCTAACTCCCAAGAGAAGAGCGGCAGCTGAAAATGCTATTTTCGGAGCTCGGAGCCTCGGACTGATCTGTCTGGTGGTGCTGCCCATGTTCATAAAGGTCACATGACCACTTCCACCAAACTGTGTGCTGTGGCGAAGAGTTGGTGACAGATCTTCAGTGGTGAACCTCCATCCAGTGACGCAGGAACCCCTGTGAAGGTCCAGTTAGAGAATGTTCTGTGTTCTGAGATGATTGGCTGACAGGAGCTGCTGAAGTCCATCTGACTGTTGAAGGAATCCATACCTTGAACCTCCTCATGGGGGCAGCAGTGGGTCAAAGACTCTCCTCTATTGGGTTTTCTCAATGGACTTGATGAGACATAAATCAGAACTTTGTTTTCTGAGTTTGGGTAGAACATCACAACCACAGACATATTTATTATGTGTGCGTACATGTGTGTATGTATGTGTGTGTGTGCGCCTGTGTGTGTGTGCGTCTGATGGTTGGTCTCCACTGCAGAGGTGGGCCTTTAGAACCCATAACCTGCTGCTCTCCAGTTTGGTCGTCATGGTTACCATGATTGTTTTAGTCTTGTATTCCGCTCAGGACGAACCACGTAGCATCACTGTCTTTTTTTACTGTTGATCTTAGCCTAGGCTACACTTGGAGCGTCCTCTGGGGGTTTTCAACCTTTTTACATCACACTGTCCAACAACAGAGCTCCAGGTCCAGCTCCAGGTCCAGGTCCAGGTCCTGAGAACCAGCACCACGGTGCCTTTGTTTGTAAACCAAAAAGAATAAATGATGTTTCATCCTCCGCCTGTCTGGGTTTTTATTGACTGAATGCAGGAAACAAATGGACAGACACCGAGGACGGGGGTGGAGTCTTGGTCCTGCGAACAGGAAACAGAACCAGAGACACCTGTTCTCTCTGCTGCAGAACTCTGATGATTAGAGAATTACTATATACAATTACTATATATATATTACTATATACTTATAAGAGAGAAGAATCTACTGGAGTGACCTGGAAGTCCTGCAGATGTTCACTGATTTTGGCTTCTTGATTAGAGGTGAAGCCAGATGTTGGTAAAGGTCAAAGGTCAGCATCAGCTACCATTCACTCATACATCTGGCAGGAGCCATCCCAGCAGTTACCAGGTGAGGGTGTGGTCACAACTGGTACACTGTCCATCACAGGGTCAACAACAGGGTCTGAAGAACAGGACGTTCTCTTTGACGTCACCAGGTGGTTGGACAGAAAACACTTGTGTTTTTGCTGTGCTCTCTCTGTCTCTCTCTCTCTCCTTCATCCCCCTGACAACTGTCTCTAACAGTAACCACGCCCACTGGAGCCTGATCTGCTGGGCTGAGTAAACAGGAAACCAGGGCTTATGGGCCTCAGAGCCCTGACACACACACACACACACACACACAGGAGCACTGTTTGTGTGTGTGTGTGTGTGTTAGCTGTAGAAGTCAGCCGTCACATGACCACTGAAGTACCAACAATGTTACATTTTGTGTTGGACCAAACACTGGACTATTGTCTCCTGGTCCAACTCTTCACCAGGTCCACTGTTGTTCACAGCACCAGTGACATGTGACCCTGGGGCGGTGTGGTTTACTGGTGTTTGTCGCCCTCTAGTGACATGGATAAACACCAGGATGAATCGTTACATTCCTGTAGGGGTCAGACAGTCAGGCTGTTGGTTTAAACTTTAACTTTATCTCCTTTATTTATTTTTGCTTGTTTTTGTTCCTGGCCAGAAATTTGTGCTCAACAAAGACGTGGACGACCCCGTCTCTGCTTGAAGTCACTTTTCACTCTACAATGTACATAAAATCAGACCGTACTTGACTACAGTCTATGGTCATATCTACATCATTACAGTGCCCTCCTATCAGGTCTAGCAGCTCAACAAGACACCTGCAAAACGTCTATCGTCTATCAGCTATCAGCCACAAGATCAGGCTCCTCCCACTCTTCTGTCAAGATTGAAACTTTTCTCTTCAAAGAACATCTATCCTAACAAACCCACTAACATCTAACATGAACCTCTTCTCACTCTATGACCTGCTGTGTTCACTGTAGCTTGATTGGTCCTCAAACTGTACGTCGCTTTGGATACAAGTGTCTGCTAAATGTAACGTAATGTGATGTAATCACCCAAACACAGTTGTTGATCGGTTCTCCGTTGAACCCGTCCCTGATGTTCTAGGACAGGACAGTCTCACACAGCCTCCATTGTTGATGTGGTCAGTGAATGCAGCACAGACGTTTACAGCCAAACAAAGTTCCAGTCTGTGACTGTGACGTGAAGTTCCTGTGAGGCCTTCACGGTCCGTGATCTTCACGTTGTTTCATAATAATTCAAATAATCCAGACTCATCAGAGATTATAATCCTGACCATTGTTATATCGCACAGAAACTGCCAAATGTGTGTGTGTGTGTGTGTGTGTGTTCTCCCCTCCTGCAGTGGTTTGATGTCAGCACCAGGACCCCCTCCCCTCTCTCCTCCCCTCCTCTCCCCTCATGTGTATGACCATGATCACCTCTTTTCTCTCATTGGTTCTCTGGGCTCTGTCTCACCTTTCCCCCAGACCTGGACACGCCCCCTCAGAGAGTGTGAGTGAGAGTGTGTGTCTTTATCTGTGCAGACTCTGATCTTTCCTCTGCAGCTGAGTTCATTTATTTTATTCAACTATGGATCAGAACACGGTGAGAACTGATTTGATTTTTATTACATATTTTGATGATTCTAGAACTTTCTCCTTCAACTTTTCCTGCTCAGTATGATAGAAGTCAGAGAACACTGATGAATTCTATATTTCAGTCCTAGAAAAGAACAAAATTGTTCCTGGTACTAATAAGTCTGTGTCTGTGTGTGTAAATCTTTGTTTTTAGAGAAAATATAAAAAATTGTTTTAATCCCAGTCATTGTCAATGATCGATTTTGATTCGTCGAGATCATGAAAACTGTTGACAGAGCAGAAGCTAACTATTAATTGCCATAGACAGGCAGCATGTGCTAACAGGTAGCAGGTAGGTCGAGCTAGCTGGGTGTATCTAAGCAAAAATGGTTTTGTGATCTCTGAGCTCCAGGTGGTTCCAGTGCTGATGGCTTTGTTCTTGGTACTGATGGCGTTCGTCTACTTCCTGCTGGGTGGAGCTTCTGGAGGGAAGAAGAAGAAGAAACTTCCTGTCACGCTGCAGGACCCCACAGTCAAGTACTCACTTCCTCTGATAGAGAAGCAGGTACAGCAGGGGGCAGCAGATACCAACCTGACCTCTGACCTTTTCAGCAGCTTTGATTGGATATGATTTAGATGGAAATGTTCTGAAACCATTTAAAAAATATTTGCTAGGAACTTCCGCTGCACCAGAGTCCATTTTCACAGGTGTCCTCCACTGAGGTCACATGTCTGTGTGGGACGTTCAGTCCTGTCTCCATGACAACCCAGTAGCACAAGCACAACCTACGACCCAACTAAAAGTTCTGTGGTGAGGACTGATGGTGTAGAGAACCGATGAACTGATGTTTGTGGAGTGTTCTTTACATGTGTGTAAACAGACTCAGAAAACTGAACTGTCCCTTTAAGTCGTCTGTTGTCCTTGTGTGACAGGAAATCAGTCCAGACACCAAAAGGTTTCGGTTCAGTCTTCCATCTGGAGCTCATGTCCTGGGTCTACCAGTAGGTACTGGAACTTTCACTCTTTATTTTTCCTGATTATGTCGGAACCGCAGTGCTTTACATCACACACACACACACACCTCGACTCGATCCAGGTCAGCACGTGTACCTGTCAGCCAAGGTCAACAACAGCCTGGTGGTCAGAGCCTACACCCCGGTGTCCAGCGATGAAGACCAGGGTCATGTGGACCTGGTGGTGAAGGTAATGAAAAAACCCCGGGACCAAAAAACTGCCTCCAATTCCCACGGCTCATGGATCTAAATGGAGTGACTCCTCCACAGGTGTACTACAAAAACTGCCATCCCAACTTCCCTGATGGAGGGAAAATGTCTCAGTATCTGGACAACATGGAGATAGGAGACACTGTGGACTTCAGAGGACCGAACGGACTGTTGGTGTACGACGGAAATGGTTGGTCAGCGTTTGTCTTCACAGACAAAATAGCCGTTTGAACAGAACATTAATACTGTAAATGGTTGCAGTACCCAGTAGTCACCAATAGGTGGCAGTGCAATGTCTGCAAGTTTCAAACTTTCTCTTTTGTTTGACCTCACAGGTCAGTTTTCCATCCGAGCAGACAAGAAGTCGGAGCCCAGAGTTCGGAAGTTCAAGCAAGTGGGAATGATCGCAGGAGGAACAGGTTCGTTTACACTGCACTGCAGGCAGAGGGCGCCAGTCACGGGAAAAAGACTTGAGAAAATTACCATCCAACACAGTTTAGTCTCTCCCTCCTCCCCCTCTCACAGGCATCACCCCAATGCTGCAGCTAATCCGCAGAATCACCTCCGACCCCACTGACGCCACCTGCTGCTCACTGATATTTGCCAACCAGGTCAGAGGAGGCATCAGTGATGTAATGATTATAATAATAATAATTTAAGACCGTTGTAATTTGAACTCTCTATGTAATGATTATAATAATAATAATTTAGGACCGTAGTAATGTGAACTCTCTCCCCCCCCGCCCCCCCATCAGATGGAGAAGGACATCCTCCTGCGGGAGGAGCTGGAGGAGGTGCAGAAGAACCATCCTGACCGGGTCAAACTTTGGTTCACATTGGATCGACCTCCACAAGGTAAAGAAAACAAAAGCTATGAACTCTAAGTGGGTGCTGGAGGGGGTGGGGTCCAACAGTCGAGGTTTTGATGTCATTTCCTGTCCTCCAGGCTGGAGCTACAGCTCAGGCTTCATCAACCAGGACATGATCAGGGACCACCTTCCTGCTCCGTCCCCTGAGGTCCTGGTGGTCCTGTGTGGTCCACCCCCCATGATACAGTACGCCTGTCTCCCCAACCTGGACAAAGTGGGACACAGAACAGAAAACATCTTCTCTTACTGAGTCAAACATCACATGACCTCTGACCTTTGTCCAACAGACCCACACTGATACTTGTTATTTTTAAATAATGAAATTGAAACAACAGTTTTGATTAATAAACTTTGCTGTAGCTAATGGTTAGCTAATCATTAGCTTATGCTAACCTCACACATCCACTGTGTTCGTGGATCTTTGTGTCATAAACTTGATTAAAAACTGCTCCAAAACACAAAAACAAAAAGTATCACTGCAGTATAAATTACTGCCACCTACTGGCTCTGACCTTCCAACACATTGTACTGGTAAAAGAAATAAAGAATACTTATAAATACAAGGTGGACATACCAGTGTATACAAATACACAGACTGGCTGTTGTCCCTCACAGACCACCAGGGACAGGTTTTTAGATTGTTAGTGTCCCTGGTCACGTGGTTACACCTTTAAAGTGAAGACTATTGTCCCTCACGGACCACCGTAGTTTCCTGGTGAGTTGAGGAAATGGTTAAGTTTTAATCTGTTTAAAAATCCCAGTAGAAACAAACGCTGAAACAGACGTCCGCCATGATGCCTTCATGGACCAGTCAAATTTATTCAGATTAACTCAGAGTTTGTTTGGCAAGTCAGTGACTGGGTGAGTCAGTGACTGGGTGAGTCAGTGACTGGGTCAGTAAGGAGAAGGTTTTATTGTTGTCTATTCAGTCATTTATTTATTATATATATTATTATTTTTGAGGTACAATTTTCGACGTCCGTGAAGGCATCACCGCTCAGTGGGCGTGTCCTCCACCAACATGTCCGTGCAGAAGTTTTGAAACTAACTTTCCAGAAAAAGAACTTTCTTTCTTCTCTTTTTGGGACAGAAATGCGTCTTTTATCGAGTCGGAACGTGTCCAGTGACTCGGACAAACATTTACGTCGCAGCTCAGTGTTTTTGTGCGCTTTCTTCAGTTTAAATTTATCGCTTTGTGGAAGTGAAGAAGTCGCTCCAGAGAAATGTCTGGTCTCTGGGCCCGGGCTGAACCCCAATACCGTGGTTCCGGTCCGGTTCTTTTACATCCAGGCGGTGAACAATCAGGGAGAAAACTTCACCTTCTCACCAGGTAAAAGTTAATTTAACTACAACACGGAGAGAGCAGCAGGGCTCAGGTTCTGGTACAAACTGAGCCACCAATGGACCAGGCAGGTTCTACCGTGATTCTGTAACACCAACTTTGTGGCAAAAGAGTGGTCTGAACCCGTCCAGAACTGCAGTAGTGGGTCCAGGGTTTTCTTCTGGACCATGTCTCACCAGAACTGTGGTGCTGCTGATTGGTTCGTTAGAACTTTTTAGGATGTGAATGTCCGTGGTCATGTGGTCACGTGGGTTCTGTGTTGTTCAGGTAGAGACACCTTCAAAGTGAAGATCACCTCCCTGGATCAGAAGGAGCACGTCCGCGTCCACGTGCCTCCTCCTCTGGACAGAGGGGACGGCTCCTTCCTGGTCCGGTACCGACTCTACACCACAGCCGTGGCAGGTCTGAAGGTGGAGCTGCTCCACAGGGACACTGCCGTGGCCGGGTCACCGTACACCGTCCAGGGTCAGTGACGTCGACGGTTTGTTTGAATCAGGGATCCGTGGTTCTGCAGAACACCAACAGTGTAGTTAGAGTGTGTTCTTCAGACTGACCGGGACGTCAGAGTCTGGTCCCTCACCCTCAGTGTTCTCCTGTGGCCCAGGTCCAGTCTATCACGAGTACTGTGATTGTCCAGAAGCGGACCCCTCAGTCTGGTACAGGTCCATGCAGTGTCCCAGTGAAGAGGCCCAGATCGTGGCCGACTTCAAGTCCTTCCCCTCAGTGGACCTGCAGCGTCTCAGACAGGAGGTTCCTCAGAGGTTCTCCAACAGAGGAGGACTAATTCACTACACCATCATCAACAACAGACTGTACCGACGCACGCTGGGACGATACACCGACTTCAAGATGTTCTCCGATGAAATCCTGCTGTCGTTAACCAGGAAGGTACGTTTTTATCTTGAATATCTCCTGAAACCTCTTGGTCTCTGACCTTTGTCTCACGCCACTGCTACTCCAAGGTGAAGGTTCCCGACGTGGAGTTCTACGTCAACGTGGGAGACTGGCCGTTGGAGACCAATATCAAGGACTCCGTTCCCATCCTGTCCTGGTGCGGTTCCACAGACACCCGGGACATTGTCCTCCCCACCTACGAGGTCACACACTCCACCCTGGAGACCCTGAGAGGAGTCACCAATGACCTGCTGTCAGTGCAGGGGAACACAGGTACCAGCAGGGGGACAGCCCCTCCTGTTGACCACCCTCACCAAAGTCCATAGAGAAGAGTGTAGAGTAGAGTGTAATTTTCTTACCACTAGAGGCAGCAGTGCACCTGCCCTTTAATTGCTTACGTAGTTGGATTTCTCTTTGGAATTTGGTTTGAAAATGATCACAGCAGTCCGTCCTACTGCTGACTTCATCAGACTCACTGCAGTGACACGTGTTGAACATAGGGGGCAGCAGTTGACCGTCAGCTTCAGTATCATGTTACTTAAATGACAAACCAGTCAAACAGATGATGTCACATCACATCACATGACATCCTGGCAGTTGACCGTCAGCTTCAGTATCATGTGACTTAAAGTGATGTTTGGACTGAAATGACAAACCAGTCAAATAAATGACGTCACATCACATGAGATCTTGAAGAGCTGCAGATTCGTCCAGGTAGACGCATCAGCTCCCTCACCCTCTCTGACTCCCCCTCTCCTAAATCTTATTTCCGGTTCCCAGGTCCTCCGTGGGTGAATAAATCGGAGTCGGCGTTTTTCCGTGGGCGGGACAGTCGAGAAGAACGTCTGCAGCTCGTGGCCTTGTCCAAGAAGAACCCAGAACTGTTGAACGCTGGAATCACAGGATGGTTCTTTTTCAGAGACCGAGAGAAAGAGGTGGGAAAAGCAGCTCTGGTCGGGTTCTTCGACTTCTTCAAGGTGAGAGAACCTCAGGTTTTACTGCAGTAGTACTCCGACAGTGTCCGACAGGTTTGATTGGTTAGTCATCAAAGGTCTGGAACTTTCTAAACAACTTAGGAACTGTTGTTGTTGTCACTGATTCACCGAAGGCTGCAGAAAACAAGGTCAAAGTGTTATCAAGTACTACAGTACTACTATAGTACTACTACAGACTAATAACATCCAGTACGGGTGACTTCTTTTCTCTTCCCTCCATTCTTTCAGTTCAAGTACCAGGTGAACATTGATGGTACGGTGGCAGCCTATCGGTTCCCGTACCTGATGCTGGGCGACAGTCTGGTTCTGAAGCAGGACTCTCAGTACTACGAGCACTTCTACATGCACCTGCGGCCTGGTACTCACTACATCCCAGTGAGGAAGAACCTGTCGGATCTCCTGGACAAGATCAGATGGGCCAAAGAGAACGACGCTGAGGCCCAGCGGATCTCCAGAGCGGGTCAGACGTTGGCCCGGGAGCTGCTGCAGCCCACCAGACTGTACTGCTACTACCACAGGGTCCTGTCGACGTACGCCGACCGACAGAGGGGGCGGCCGTCCAGGCACCCAGACATGGAGCTGGTTCCTCAGCCTGACGACCAGACGGCCGTCTGCTCCTGTCACCGTGGAAACCTCCGAGACGAACTGTGACGCTGTCTGTCCTCGTCCTCCCACGGTCCGAGGTTCTGACCCACAGAAGAACGCCTCCTCCAGGACCAACAACACTTGACGTTCTTCTGAGGTAAAGCCTGGTTCTTCACAGAGGCTCAGGTCAGAGGTCAGAGGTCAGGTGGAATTTGTCTGTCCAGACCTTATATCAGTGTGTGTTTGACTTTTGTTTTCAATGTGAAAAAATACTTGAAGTTTTCATCAATTCCTTAAAGTGAGTCGATAGTCGCTAACAACGACTGAAGCATAAAACAAATAAGATAAAAGTAGTAAAATGAGGTCAAAGTTAATCCAGATCAGAAGTAACTTGGTTCATTAAAGCTAAATATTAGTTAAAAGGACTAGATGAAAAGTTAGCCACAAACCATGTTTAACAGTGTAGCACAGTAGCTAAAGGTTAGCGGTCATGGGTGTACTACAGGTTAGTCAAGATAAAAGGTCCTGGTGTCAGTCGATGGTCAGACCAGGTGCTAACAGGTAAAAACAAATGCCTTTTAATTCTCAATTCTACAATCCAGGCCTTTCAAAATAAACTGCACTTTTATTTTGAATAGCAGTGATTAGTGCTCAATACAAATGTAAACACTGGGCTGTTGAAGAGACAACAGCAGAAACCTCACTTTAGTTTTTATATAAATCAAACGTTTTTGTAAACCTCAGTTTTTTTATTTGCCTCATCTTTGTGTCTTTTTCAAATTAAAAGAACGTTCCTGTCACCGTTCTGTCTTCTTTCTGTTGACACTTGATGGGACGTCATCTACAGCAGATGAATATGTGGCCAATAGGTGGCAGTAATAACTCACATGATTCACGTCTGATGGTAAATGCCAAAGGAGACCAGCAGAGGTCGTCGCTTCCTCTGTTTCTCTGAGGTTTCTGGTCTGATCTGGTTTATATTCCCCTCCTTCAGCAGAAACAGTTGTTCGTAGCATTAGCATGGAGCTACCAGTACCAGTGCGTTTGTGTACCACAGGTCACAGGTCAATATTTACAGTCCTACACTAAACAAAGATCAGACCTAGACAGTGTAGTTCAGGTCCGGACTGAAGGGTGTGGTCTGGGTGGAGTCCTCCTCACCCCCTCTGTCTCCTGTCTCACCCGCAGCAACAGTGACAAAGAAATGTTTTGTTCAAATTTTTGTTTTTATTATTTATTATCATAATATATTAAAATGGAAACCTATGACATCATCACCAGCATCAGCTCTGATTGGTTTGTCTGATTGGTAATGACCAATGAGTAGTAATTATAGTAATGGTAATGATGATGATGTTGAACATGTCAGTTAGTCACAGTGGTCACCAGGGGGTTCCTAGTTCTAGTCTTGGTCGCGACATCAAACGTCATGGATCATCATCATCATCATCATCATCATCATCATCAGTAAATCTTAACTCATTGAACTGACCTTTGAACTTTCCAAGAATGAATTTTTAGATTCTAGGGTTGAAAAGCCAGAACCAGCAGATGGTGCTGATGAGAGCTGTAAGGACTGAATCAGAGAACTGCTGTGTGTTCAAGTCCCACCCACTGTGATCTCCTGGTTCTGGGGAGAGTTAGCTGAATTTGATCATGAGAGTCAGTGGGTCGTGGTCCTTCCTGGTGACCACAGCCTGCATCATTCCTGGAGGGGTGTGGAGATACCTGGAGCCTTTGAAGAAGTTCTCGATAAACGCTCGGTCGATTTTGTTGCATTTGCCGATTGCTGCCTCAAAGTTGTTGCTGAGGACGCCGTAGATGTTTCCCTTGTCGTTTTTCCTACCAAAGAACAGGAAGAGTGCGTAGCAGTCCTTACCGATGGAGGTGCAGAAGTCCACCAGCTTCTCGTACATGTTCCTGCTGCTGGACTCCATCTGGGCCAGCTGGAGGGTCTCACTGAAGGCTTCTGTGGGGGCGCTGTCCTCCTCAGCTTCTTCTTTTTCTGGCAGGTGTAGGACTTGGACGGCGATCTGGACCCTGGGGTTCTTGCTGGGTTTGTCCAGAAGGGCCCAGACCCAGTCGGGCCCCAGGAGGATTCTCTGTTCGGGGGTCATGGCGGTGCAGTTGAAGGTGTCAGTCATGTTGAGGCAGACCGACTGAGTGATGTAGGTCATCAAGAAGACCTGGAGAGGGAGACAAAGTCTGGGTTTGGAAAATCACTCTTCAACTGAAGTACTATGATAATACCTGCATTATTTAGCAGAGGGCGCTGTAAACAAAACCAGTGCTGAATGTGGGTCAGTATCTCGGAAAACCCTCCCCTGGTACTGACCTGGGTGAGAACGTCGGGGCTCGGGTGAAACTTGTTCTCTGGGTCCTTGAAGAGCAGGTACTCCTGGGTTCTGGACGAGGCGGCGGTGATGCAGTCGTTGAAGAGGGGGATGAAATCGTTAGCTTTAGCCACAGGGGGCTTCCTCAGAGTGGCGAAGATGCTGGGCCGTGGAGCAGGGGTTTCCTCAGGCTCGGTTCTGGAGTAGGTGTTCTTGATAGGAGGCAAGAAACTGGAGTTCTGGAAAGGGTTGGAAATGGGCTTGATGAGGTTCTGGCCCATGTTGGCTGGATGGTGGAGAGTGGGTCAGATACTGTGGAACAGAAGCAGAACAGTGAGGAGAAGACGAAGACAGAAAACTCTGGACAACAGTGTCCGCCTGGTCCTGTCCGGTATAATCACCAGGACCATGGAGCGGTACCAGCCAGTTTGTCATTGGTTCATCTTAACTAACATTTATTATTAATCAAAGTGAAAGAAAAAGTTAATTTAATTGTTCTACAGTGAAGAACTGGTCCACCATATGGTACCACTGTTCTCTGACAGAGGAACAGACTTGAGTCAAATGGAGTTCCTGATTCAAAGGACAGACTCGTCATAGAAGACTAGATCAGAGGGTCTTACCAGGACGGGTCTGGACCTGTGGTCTTCTCTTCACTGCGGCCCTCTCAGACTCCCAGGAACAAGGTTCTGCTGCTGCTGCGGCTGCTGCTGCACACTGAGGAACTCAGGAGTCCTCAGTGTGTGTGTGTGTGTGTGTTTAATAAAGAGCATTTTCTCTCCCCCCAGGCCTGGAGTCACAGCAGGTGTCAGTAAACAGAAGACTCAGAGAGTCAACAAAGAGCCTCGTGGTCCAACATGTCAAAAGGGCTGGGTGGGGTTCAGGAGGCGTGGTGTCGTCACCCTCCGGCACCAGGCCGGGTCTAGAACCTGTTAGCCTAGCAACAGCTCAGCGTTTCATGTTGAAATATTCTAACAGTCTGGTCGAGTCAGGTTGGAAGGGTTTTAGATCCAAGTCCAAGTCGGTGAAAAAAAAAAAGATGAAAAGTTTCCCCGTGTCCAAGTCCAGGTCCTTGAAGAGCACGTTGAGGACATTTGAGTCCAAGCTCCAGGAGTTCCAGTCTACGTCCAAGTCACCGAGGTGACCAGGACTGGGAGGAAGTGAAGAGTCAGTTACTGGGAAAAAAAAATCCAGATCCAGGTTTGAATCCCAGTCCCTGAGGAAATGTTGAGGGTCAGGACCCAAAGTTTTGATCCCTGGACGACGAGGTCCAGAGACTGGATTGTTCATTTAATAATAATAATGGGATGGCTGACGTCACTGATGACGTCACTGTTACTCTGCTCAGGGCCATTTTTTCTCCTGGTGCTTTTGTTTTTACCGTGAGCGCCATCTGTCACACATCAAGTGTAAAACACCACACGGTGAAGATGGCCAGCAGGGGGCGTGAGAGGATATGGCAGCACATCTTCAACTCTTCAACCGCACAACTGGACAACTCTCGGGGTTCTTCTGTCACCTGTGAAACAATCACAAAAAAAAAAGCAAAGAACCGAGTTGGACCTAGAGAAAAGAAGTTCTCGATGTTCACGGCGGGAAACTGTGGGTTGTTAGCTCAACATTTGAACTGAAAATACGGACAACTGTTAGCCTCCAACTGCTAATTCTGTCCTTCATGTTTTTGGAGTATTACTGCGTCGGTGTATTTAACAGTAAATCATGTCAGTTGTCTACAGAGCGCTGCTGTATCACAGAGAAGGCCTGTTTCCGAGCATCCCCTGAAGGCAGCACAGCCCCGCCCCTCCGTTGGCAGCAGGTGAAGCTGCTGATCCCCTCAGCTGATCCTCACTCACAGGATCAGTCCCGCGCTGATCGTCACTCTTCATCACTTTGCTGCCTCGACACCGCAGGACTGTGCGTGCGTGCGCGCGACTGCCATGATCGCGAGTGCACGTGTCCGTGCGCCTCACATCGTTTCCTGTCTTTACAAGTGAATCCGAGGATTTTAATGTGTGTGGAAGAAGTTCACTCTGGGTGAGTACTGTGTGTGTGTGTGTGTGTGTGTGTGTGTGTGTGTGTGTGTGTGTGTGTGTTCACGACACTCACGTAGTGACACAATCCAAATACTGTGGGATACAGGGAGTGTGAGTTTGTGTGCATCTGTGTGTGTGTGTGAACGTGTGTGTGTGTGTGTGTGTGAGGCCGGCAGCTCTGAGACACGTCGAGAAGTGCGCTCTGGGTGGGTGCTGTGTGTGTGTGTGTGTGTGTGTGTGTGTGTGTGTGTGTGTGTGTGTTCACGACAACTTCTTCACGGATCGACTACTCTATCCTTTATTTCTCGGTGAATCGACCACTTTGGTCTAAACACAGTGAAATATTTGTAATGAGTACACAGTACACAGTACAGAGTACTGTGTTTACTGCCGATCGATCCCTTATTTTTTCACCGATTAATTGATCACTGGTTGTCGATTAGTTGTTTGATGTTCGTTACTGAAACCATGGACAGAAACTGGTTCTGTCACTGCAGCAGGAGATGTTTCAACAGAGGGGAACGCCTCCTCCCCCACCTCCCCCTCCTCACCCCTCCTCCTACACCCACATTGATATTCACTCATTAGCGCCCCCCCCCCTTATGACTGCAGGTGTGAGTGAGAACCAGCGTTAGTTCCAGCCAAGGTTCCTGGTACGTTTGTCCTCACTGTTGGTACCGAAGAGGGACAGGTGTCCACTCCTGTGGGCCACTCAGTCAGTCTGGAACCTGTCTGCTCTGTATCTGGTCTACTCCGTGTGGGCTGCACGTTCTCACTCTGTGTTGAACCAGTCCGACCTGTTGGGCTTATTGTTTGTATCCATAACGTGGGCTACACTCTTCTGGTCCTCGCTGTGTTGAACCAGGCAGACGCATGCAGCCCATATCTGTGGTCCCAGATATGGGCTGCATTCTTGTGGCCCAATGGAGAAATCATCAGAGTGGTTTCCAGAATCTGATCCCAGTTTTTTTTATCTAATAAAAGTGGGCTCCAGTCCATCTGGGTTGCTGCCTACACCTGGCTGAGACAGTAGGCTGTGGGCCTCATCCACTCAACATTGGGCCACAGTGTGGTTGATGACTGATGTACTGGTGTGTGTTCATAACTGTGTGGATCCTCCGTCAGTCCTGACTGCGGTTGATCCGCTCAGTCAACAGTGACGTGGGCGGAGCTACAGGAACCGGTCGGACGGTCTCAGGTCGGACTAACTGGTTCTTGTGCAGACACTGAACTGTAGGATATTTAACCATTAACCACCAACTGGGACTGAGTCAATGACCTTTGAACCCAGACCACTGAGTGTTTGCTCAAAGTTTGACCTGAAACAGGGGCTACTGAGTTAGCTCACAGGATGGCTAACACATTAGCCTTCAGCAGCTGACACACACACACACACACACACACACACACACAGAGGCTTTGTGCTGTTGAACAGAGTCTGTGTTGTGTAACTGAATGGTGCTGTCACTAACACACACACACACACACAGAGTGGGGGGGCTGTCTTTGATGAGCTGCTCTCTGAGGTCAAAGGTCACCCATATAAGGTGGTCTACAGCTGATGTGAATGTGCACACAGCACATTTCATCAGTTCATGGAACGGTTTCTCTGCAAGCTAAAAGGTTATAAAGTGAACCAGTGCCCCCTACTGTTGTTTGGTGGAGGTGTCACGCTGATGTCTCATCTGTTTACTTCCTTCTTCCTGTCAGAAAGCTCTGGACTTCCTGCTGTCACCATGGAGACGGAGGCCAGTCACATGTTGGAGGCGGCGCTGGATCAGATGGATGACATCATCGCAGGTACCAGTGATGTCATCAAAGATGGAGGGAAAATTCTAGCTTTCTATTGTAGGGACAACAGAAGAGTGGTCGCTGCTCCTGCCATACAGCAAGAAGGTCAGCTGTTCAATTCCCGGCTCTAAATGCTGCTGCAGTTTCCTCCTCTCTCTAAACTTTAGCTTTAGGGACTTCAGGAGTCTACAGACCGGGACCGTTAGAGCCGGGATTGAACCTCTGACCTTCTTCAAGCACAAGCACTTACCACTCTTCCACCTTGGCCTACAGAAATAGTATTCTCCAGATGGAAAAATGTTCTTCTAGTCAGTCCATCATCTCCATCATCTTCATCATCTCCACTCTCTAGGTTCCAAAGCAGCAGCAGTGGTGGACTTCTCCATCAACTTGTACGACCTTGGTTCTTCCATCAGTACCGACCCGCTGCAGGTGGTCCAGTTGGCTGAGGACCTGAAACTGGCCCTGGATCTTCATCTAAACCAGGAGCACAGAGAAACCCTGAGAGAACAGCTGCAGACGGAGACGGTGGAGACTCTGAGGGACTGGCTGTGGGGAGACCGGGTCAGTACTCCTCTGTCATGGTCCACCATGTGGGTCTAACCCTCAGCCCACTTCACTACAGGACTGTTTAAAGAGTTAATCACAGCTGTTTAACCTGTGTCCTTGACCTGCAGGGGGTGCTGGTTTTTTTTCACACGGCAGAACAAAGAACCCATTTATTTTCTGTTTGGTTCATGTTTATCAGTTTCACTCTTCAGGCTAACAGTTAGCAGGATTTCTCAGAGACCTGTCGACGCCCTGAAGACTCTTCATGTCCACTTATTTTCTGACTGGGCTGCAGTTTACACCCCCACCACCCCACCTCGATTATAGAAGTCAGCCAGATGCAGCCAGCAGCTAGCATAGAGTTCAGTAGAGTCTGACGACTCAGTGGAGAGAAAACGACAGAAACATAAACAAAAAAAAGTTCCAAACAGAGGAACAGGAAAACAGGAAAGTCTGACTCCCCCTCCCCTCACCCCCTCCCTCCCCCATTCATCCCCCAGACACCAGTTTTCTGAGCTCAGCCATTTGACTATCAGAGAAAGTTGAGAAGAAGGAAAGAAGAAGAAGGAGGAGGGGGGCGGGGGGGCACAGAAGTAAAAATAGGAGCACAAATAAGGAGGGGAAGGAGGGGGAGGAGGAGGGGGAGAAGAAAAGAAGGAGGAGGCTCAGAGTGATGAAGGTTTGGAGAGAGTGAGAAGAAAAATCAGAAAAGAGGGGAGTGAAAAACTGTCGGACGGAGGGAGGGTGAGGACGGGGGAGGGAGGTTCCTGTTTCTGTTAAACTCTCTCTCTCACACAGTCAGTCAGTCAGTCAGACAGGCGGCTGTAGAATGAACAGTGTCAGTGTCAGGCAGAGGCAGCCTCTGATTGGCTGTCAGCATGGAGACGCCCATTGACTTCTACAGACACTTCACCTGGATGAGGAGGAGAAAGGTGAGACTCCTTCACTCGTTTCCTCTCCTCACAGCTGCTTCCTTAACACCTGGAGGAGATAGAGACGGAGCGAGAGAGAGGGAGGGAGAGAGAGAGGGAGAAAGAGGGAGGGTGGGACAGAGGGAGGGAGAGAGCGCGAACGTCCGAGTGTTAACGCTGTGATGTCACTTCCCTCATGTCCATGTGACTGTGTGTGTGTGTGTGTGTGTGTGTGTGTGTCAGCTGACTGCCTCAGTGTTTCACTCCCGGTTCTCAGTTGAACCAGTGTCTGTTTCTAATCGATCACATGAGGTTCTGGTACTGACTGTGGAGGTTCTGGTACTGTTTCAGTACGGTACTGTTTCAGTGGTACCAACAGCGGTGCCGCCCAGACACACATGGTCCTGGTGGAGTCCACAGCAGGTCATGGGCCTCATTACCAGAAGGTGGCGTCCTGCATGTGCTCATACATTCTTCAGCACTGGGATCATCAGTTCCCTGGAACTGTTTGTCAGCAGATGTTCCACCCACTCTCCAGCCAAAACCCTTGTCCTAAAAACTAAAACTCAATGTGTGTGTGTGTGTGTGTGTGCGCGTGTGTGTGTGTGCATGCAGGTGAAAGTCTGCTCTACAGAAAACAATGACAGCTACCAGGAGAGGCTGCTTCGTCTAGAGGGCGACAAAGAGTCTCTGGTGCTGCAGGTCAGAACCGACTCGTTTTCACCTTTGATCATTTTTCTGCAGTAACAACAACGCTTAAGCTAACCTCGACTCAGATCACCGCTAACTTTAGCTCAGCTTTTGTTGTTGTTGGTAAGTCATAACGACTGTGTCATCCGACAGGTGAGCGTCCTGACCGACCAGGTGGAGGCTCAAGGAGAGAAGATCAGAGATCTGGAAAGTTCTCTGGAGGAACACAGGCAGAAACTGGCTTCAACAGAGGAGCTGCTGCAGCAGGGAACACACACACACACACACACACACACACACACCCCCCCGCTGTAA